TTGCATTGGGTCACCATGAACACACCATCAGATCACATATCATCAACTTGAACCACAGAAATCATGTATCCATAGCTTCGTGGCAAATCCATGCAGCCAAAACCTGGTTCTGAAGTACGGATCCTCATAGATGGTTGAGGGTTTTCTGTTGGGACACCCCAAGCTTACAATTAAATCACATAACATGTCCATGGCAACAGCTTGACCCACAAAAGTCGTGGATCAACAGCTTTGTGGCAACACCATGAAGCCACTACATGATTCTGAAACACGGATACTCATGGATCCCCAGTGTTTTTGCATTGGGTCATCATGAACTCACCATCAAATCACACATCATGTCCAAGGGCACAGTTTGAATCACAGAAATCAGGGATCCACAGCTTCTTGGCAACACCCTGCAGCGAAAACATGGTTCCGAAACATGGATCCTCATGGATGCTTGGGCGTTTTGCATTGGGTCACTACAAACACACCACCTAATCACATATCATGACCATGACAACAGATTGCACCACGAAGATCACGGATCCACGGCTTCATGGCGACACCATTCTGCAAAAACAAGGTTCTGGAGCACGGATCCTCATGGATGCTTGTGGGTTTTGTGCTGGGACACCCCAAACGTACCTTTAAATTCCATATCATGGCCATGGCCATAGCTTGCACCAAAGAACTCACGGATCCACAGCTTCATGGCAACACCATGTTGCAAAAACACAGTTCCAAAGCATGGATCCACATGGATCCTCAGGGTTTTTGCTTTGGTACCCCCAAACTCACCATCAAATCACATATCATGTTCATGGCCACAGCTTGAACCATAAATATCACTGATCCACAGCTTCGTGGTGACGTCATGCTGCAAAAACATAGTTCCGAAGCATGGATCTTCATGGATCCTCAGGATTTTTGCATTCGGTCACCCCAAACACACCATCAGATCACATAACATGTCCATGGCCACAGCTTGCACCACAAAAATCACGGATCCACAGCTTCGTCGTGACACCATTCTGCAGAAACATCGTTCTGGAGCACGGATCCTCATGGATGCTTGGAGTTTTTGTGCTGGGACACCCCAAACTTACCATTAAATCCTATATCATGGCCATGGCCACAGCTTGCACCACAGAATTCACAGATTCATAGCTTCGTGGCAACACCATGCTGCAAAAACACAGGTCCAAAGCATGGATCCTCATGGATTCTCAGGGCTTTTATGTTGGTCACCCCAAACTCACCATCAAATCACATATCATGTCAACGGCCGCAGCTTGCAACACAAAATTCATGCTTTGTGCATAACTTCTGTGGTGCAAACTGTGGCCACTAATGTGATGAGTTAGCAGATGGTAAGTTTGGTGTGCCCCACATTAAATCTTGTAAAACCGTGTTTTGGTACAACATACTGAGGATCCGTGAGGATCTGTGCTTCCGAACCATGTTTTTGCTTCATGGTATTACAACGAAGCAAATTCTGGCCGTGGAGATGATATGTGATATCATGGTGGTCTTGGAGTGACCCAAAGCAAACATCATAAGGATCCATGAGGATCCGTACTTCAAAACCATGTTTTGGCTTCATGGTTGTAATGTATCCATCTCAGACCGTGTGCGCGGCCATTTCGCCACGCGGTCAGGCGAAACGACCAAGCTTCACTCTCCGTAACAATGGGACAAGCGGATCCTAGCCGGCGCCTATCGGCAGGCTAGGCTCCTGGCCGAGAGCCTATGGAACTCTCGGCCACTGTAAATAGCCAATCACTTGTGTGTGGGTGTGTTTGGGGAGTGGGGTTTGTGCACATATAAACCAGCCTGTGAGCTGGGTACTCTCGTCTTGTTCTGAGCTGAAATAAAGTATGAGAGCTGAAATCACTAGCAAGTCTCAGTACTTTTCAATGGTGTTGCCATGAGGCCGTGGATCCATAACTTTTGTAGTGCAGGCTGTGCCCATGGACGTGATATGAGATTGGACGGTGAGTTCATGGTGACCCAACACAGAAACCCAGAGGATCCATTCTTTGGAACCATGTTTTTTGAAGCATGGAGTTGCCATGAAGCCGTGGATCCATGAATACTGTGATGCAAGTATGGGATTTTATGGTAGGTTTGGGGTGTCCCAACACATAAAACCCAAGCATAAGGATCTGTGCTCTAGAACCATGTTTTCACAGAATGGTGTTGCCACAAAGCTGTGGATCTGTGATTTTTGTGGTGCAAGCTGTTGACATGGACATGTCATGTGATTTGATGGTGTGTTTGGGGTGTCCCATTGCAAAAACGCTGTGGATCCATGAGGATCTGTGCTTTAGAACCATGTTTTGGCATCATGGTGCTGCCACGAAGCTGTGGATCCATGACTTTTGTAGTGCAAGCTGTGTCCATGAACGTGATATATGATTTGCAGGTGAGTTCATGGTGACCCAACACAAAAACCCAGAGGATCCATGAGGGTCCGTGCTTGTTTGTCAGCATGGTGTTTCGACGAAGCTGTGGATCCATGAATTCTGTGGTTCAAGCTGTGCCCGTGTACATGATATGTGATTTTATGGTGATGTTGGGGTGACCTAATGCAAAAATCATTAGGATTCATGAGGATCTGTGCTTCGGAATCATGTTTTTGGAGCATGATGTTGCCACAAAACTGTGGATCTGTGATTTTTGTGGTGATTACTGTGGCCATGAACATGATATATGATTCCATGGTGAGTCTGGGGTGACCCAACACAAAATCCCTGAGGATCCGTAAGTGTCCATGGTTCAGAACCCTTTTTTTGCACCATGGATTTGCCACCAAGCCCTGGACTCACAATTTCTGTGGTGCAAGCTGTGGACATGGACATGATATGTGATTTGATGGTGATGTTGGAGTGACCCAATTAAAAAACGCGGATCCATGAGGACCCGTGCTTTGGGACTATGTTTTTTCACTTTTGTGGTGCCACGAATTTGTGGAGGCATGATTTTTGTAGCGCTGCTTATCGTCTAAGACACTGTCTTCAGAATGCTGGTAGTTTTATTTTCTTTCAGCACAAAAATCATATGAATTCATGAGGATCCCTGCTTTGGAAGCATGTTTTTGTGCTGTTGTGGTGCCAGGAACCTGCGGATGCCTGATTTTTACAGCGCCCCCTATAGACTAATACATGGCCTACAGTATGATGGTGGTTTTATTTCCATTCAGTTTAAAAATCATATGCATTCATGAGGATCCGTGCATATCCGACTTCTACCCAGACCCAACTCGAACTTGGAGCTGCGGTGGCTCAAGTGGTTAAGATGCTGAACTGCAGGCTGTGGAAGGTCAGTAGTTCAGCAGTTCGAGACCCAGGGTGCCACATGACCGAGTAAGCTCCCGTCTCTAGTTCCAGCTCCTGCCAACGTAGCAGTTCGAAAGTGAGACATTGCAAGTAGATAAATAGGTACCACTTCGGTGGGAAGGTAACAGCGTTCTGTGCGCCTTGGCTTAGAGAGCCAGTTTGGTGTCGTGGTTAAGTGTGCGGACTCTAATCTGGAAGAACCGGGTTTGATTCCCCACTCCTCCACTTGCACCTGCTGATGTGACCTTGGGTCAGTGTAATGTATTCTATGCTGCCTAGAATACATTAAGATGATTGTGAATCATCTCATAGGGAAGCAATGTTAAGCTTCGTCTTGAACAGGGATTGAAGTTCAAGACTACTGCGTCCAATCGGATTCAAATGTATATAAGCGGGAAAGACTCTGATTGGTCCTTATTGTCTCAACCTGATAGGTTGTTTATCTGTATAGTAGGCGTGGCTATATTAGCCCGGAATGTTTAAATACTGAACAAGCTGCAATGGAAAGATCAGAACAGTACTGAGTTCGGGCTATCAAGAGAATCGTTGAGCTGAAATAAACCTGAGTTTTGCTGAATCACTCTCTGGCTATTTTGTTGAGCGCAGACTTAACAGTCAGTCACAAGCTCTGGCACAGCTGTCCTTGAAAAAGGGCAGTTTGTGTCAGAGCTCTCTCAGCCTCACCCACCTCACAGGGTGTCTGTTGTGGGTAGGGGAAGGGAAAGGAGTTTGTAAGCCACTCTAGAGACTCCAAGTGAAGGGTGGGGTATAAATCCAATCTCCTCCTCCTCCTCCTCCTTAGTCATGCCGGCCACATGACCACGGAAACGTCTTCGGACAGTGCTGGCTCTTCGGCTTGGAAACAGAGATGAGCACGGCAACCCTAGAGTCGGATTCGACTGGCTTTCGAGCAAGGGAACCTTTCCCTTTACTTTTTAACTCGAACTCAGGTCCGGGACCCACCCTCTGCCCCGGGCTGACTGCTACAAGCTGGCTTTGCGGTCCACCCATTTCCCCGCGCTGTGCTTTCTGCAACCCTCTCAACCTCCGCAGTCGGATCAAGAGCGCAAACCAAGCAGGAAAGTGGGCGTCGCATCTTTGTCTCCGCCCCCCTCCTGGAAAAGGAGAACCCGCCAGCCCAGGCGGGCTTCAGGGAAACCACGGGGACCCATAGAGCCAATCACAGGGAGAGAAGGCGC